GCGATAACTACTACACTACCGCTCCCCACAACGACTCTTCCGCGCGCGTGTGCGCGTGTGTGGGTGCGTGCCCTGCGTCACACACACGTACACACGTGCTCAAACGGCCGTGACTGACACGGAGGCCTTCATCCAGCAGTGGACTGACAGTGCGGCTGTAAATGATGATAAATGACGAGGCGGTTCCCCCCGACTCCGCCGCCGCCGCCGCCGCCGCCGCCTCGGCCCCGTCCCCGCGGCGCTTTCGCGCGACCCCGTTCCGGACCCGTCGTCGTCTCATCTCAGCGGCCACCCGCCCCCCCGGGCGCCGTGGGGGTTGGGAGCCGAGATCTCGTGAAGCATTTTCAGGGCTCAAGGTCACGGCATCGTCGCATTTTTTTCCCTGTCCCCGGCCGCCCCGAGGCCACCGACTGAGAGGTCCCCCCCGCCGCCTCTTGTGAAGTCGCTGCACCTGAGATCAAGACACGGGCCGCCCTCCACCACCTCGCGCCCGATCGGGAGAAGCGAGTGGGGGGGGGGGGGACTCGAGTCTGTGAAGTTCACCGAGACCCCAGCGGCGCCTCCAGCACGGGCTGTGCTTTCATCACCATCGCCACCAACACGGGTTTTTTTTATAAATATATACGGGTATATATATAAAATGCCACCGCGAGCCACCATAGCACGCATATGCATGTTTACCAATCCGCATTCGTTCAAATACGAATTAAATGTGCACACGCTGCACGCGCCTGATGATGGTGACACGCGTCCTCCGTGGCGCGAGGATATGCCATCGTCACAGCGGGCGGCAGCTGGATGCACCGGATCTCCTGCCATCAGAATGTGGAAAGTCTCGCGAATGGCTCAACAGGCAGACACGAAGACGAGCGATGCCCCACTGCAGCGGGCAATTCACTGGCAGAGCATCGTGGAGAAGCGCCGCTTCGAGTTAGGCCGAGAGACGTGAACAAGAGAACACGTGGTGAGAGAACACACGCAAGTTAGAGACACCACGTCGATCTCCATCTAGCAGTGGATACATGACGATGATTGCACTGAGGAGCCGTAATAAAGCAGATGAGAGAACATACGCAAGTGAGTGACAGGTCACGTTGCCTGCTTAGAGACGTGGACGTGAGTGTGGCGGGACGCGTCAGGGCCGCTGGTCGAGACGAACGACGGCGTGGCAGCCAACGGAGGGAGACGCGACTGAGACTCCACAAAGATAGATTCAGACGATATGTTCTCGGTTTTTTCGGTAAAGTCACGTAGATAGAAAACAAAAAAGAAAAATAATAAAATAATAAATTTTAATTCTAATTATATTTTCAATTGTATTTTACTATTTTTATTTTATTGTGGTGTTTTGCTTTGATTATTTTCAATGTATTATTTATATTTTTTATAATTAGTATTTGTTATTTTAATTTAATTATTTCTATTTTTGTTTTCTATCTACGTGACTTTACCGAAAGAACCAAGAATATCAATACCTGCAGTCACGAAAGTTAAAAGTCAAAATTCAGACGACATGGGGGAAGCCTTCATCAAGCAGTGGATCGATCCTGGCCGACTGATTAATGAGTTCAACCTGAAACCTACAACAAAGCACGCACACCACCACCACCACCACTCACGCGCGGTGCTCGGAATGGATTTGAGCCCGGCGGGGCTGTGCTCCCTCAGCACCGCGGCGACGACTCTCGGATAGGCGATCCGCCAGTTTTATTTGCTTCTTATGGACATCTCTACAAAGTGTTCGGCGCAAGGTTACACTGAGAAGTGCTGTGAGACCAGAGACGTGACACCAGAGAGTGACGAACGATCTGCCTACGGGTTCCAAAACGCGTGACCGTGCGCACGTAGAACACAACTCTCGTGCACGTGGATCACGACTCTCGCGCACGTAGAACACAACTCTCGTGCACGTAGATCACGACTCTCGCGCACGTAGATCACGGCTCTCGCGCACGTAGATCACGGCTCTCGCGCACGTAGAACACAACTCTCGCGCACGCAGAACACAACTCTCGCGCACGTAGAACACGACTCTCGTGCACGTAGATCACGACTCTCGCGCACGTAGATCACGGCTCTCGCGCACGTAGATCACGGCTCTCGCGCACGTAGATCACGGCTCTCGTGCACGTAGATCACGGCTCTCGTGCACGTAGATCACGGCTCTCGCGCACGTAGATCACGGCTCTCGTGCACGTAGATCACGGCTCTCGCGCACGTAGATCACGGCTCTCGCGCACGTAGATCACGGCTCTCGTGCATGTAGATCACGGCTCTCGCGCACGTAGATCACGGCTCTCGCGCACGTAGATCACGGCTCTCGCGCACGTAGATCACGGCTCTCGCGCACGTAGATCACGGCTCTCGCGCACGTAGATCACGGCTCTCGCGCACGTAGATCACGGCTCTCGTGCACGTAGATGACGGCTCTCGCGCACGTAGATCACGGCTCTCGTGCACGTAGATCACGGCTCTCGCGCACGTAGCCTCGTGCCGCCGCGATCTCCTGCCAACAATTTCAGAGCGACTTCAACTCCCGAAGGAGCTCCCGGCGCGTGGCAGCGAAACGTCGGACATCGTGCCGAACGACGCCATCGCGCACAGCAAGGCAGCAGCAGCACAACCGCGGACACCCACGCGGAGAATCCTCACGGTTACGCGGTTTCATTTTTTACGATTAAAATGAACGATTCTCTTGACGGACTTTTTGCAAACTAGAATGCATCTTAAAGCGTGAACACCATGACATTCACTCTGCACGTAGCCGGCTTTCACAACCGATGGTTAAAACATTTCCTCTATACATGTTTAAAAATAAAATTAATATCCAAATGTAGGTGTTGACCAATGAAAATTAATTTTACAGCCTTAACAAAAATTTATCTTAAGTTCACGAAACAAATTGATCTCAAGTTCTTAACACAAAATTATCTTAAGCTATTAAAAAAATTGACCTTAAGTTTATAACACAAATGTATCTTAAGTTTGATCGCAAGCTGCGAACGCGAGGTCGGTAAGGCGAGCCGCCACGCAGCCCGCGTGCAGAAAGAACCACAAAGTCAAATCCACAAACCCAGACACAACCCCAGAGACACAAACCCAGACACAAACCTCAGAACACAAACCTCGAAACACAAACCCCGAAACACAAACCCAGAAACACAAACGCAGAAACACAAACCCAAAAACACAAACCCACAGACACAAACCCAGAAACACAAACCCGAAACACAAACCCACAGACACAAACCCAGAAACACAAACCCGAAACACAAATCCGAAACACAAACCCGAAACACAAACCCGAAACACAAACCCAGAAATACAAACCCAGAAACACAAACCCAGAGACACAAACCCCGAGCATAGCAACGGGAGGTCCCCAGCGCGGCAAGCAGCGCGGCAGAGTAAACCCTCAAATTGCTCACTCCAACCATCAAAGGCTCAGTGAGACGCCTTAATTGGCTGAGTGTTTTGACGCCCTCCCATAATCAATCAATCAATCGGTCAATCAGGTATGTCCGCCGTTGCTGGCCAGGTAACACCCACTCCCCCCCCCACCAGCACTCACTCCACCCCGCGGACACGTACAGGCGGCTCCCTACAAACCTTGGGGAGGAGGTGGTTGAGGAATGTGAGAGATGGGGGACTGGCGAATAGGTCCGATTTAATTACGATTAACGCCGCCGCCACCACCACCATCACCGCCACCTCCTCATCCCTTCCCTCCCTCCCTCCCCGAGACAATTATTCCATCAGTGGCTGCCGCGCCTGGAGATGTCATTAAGAGCGCGGGGGCGGCTGGATACGGGGAAAGGTGAGGACGAGCCCGAGGCCACGTGGCGGCCTGACACGAGCAGGGTGGAACTAAATCATTGTGGTCATCATCATCAGTGGAATCAGCTCTAGCTCTTCTTCATCATCATCATCATCACCAACCACCATTTTCATTACCATTGTCGACATCATCAGACAAACGTCGTCATCCCCGCCCTGCAGGACGCCTCCATGAGTGGCGTGGAGATTCCGCGAGTCCCCCCCCCCCACACCTCGATCGCGAGGAGCAGGAATTCTCCTCCCCCCCTCCTCATCCTCCTCGCGCGGAGCCCGGGGCCTCGCGGCACCGTCTCCACGTGGCCAGAGACACAACATCCCAGGGGCCCGTCTCCCTGCACACGACCCGTCTCCCTGTCTCCCGGTCTACCGGTCTTCCTGCCTCCCCGTCTACCGTGCTCGTGTGCTTCCCTGGAACACCGCTCGTCTCTCTGTCTCGTTGTCTCCGTGTCCCCCACGTCGCTGTGTGCGTGTCTCGGTCTCTCACCTATGTCTGTGTCCGAGTCTGCGAGTCTCTGTCTTGGGTCAGTCCGTCTCCCCCTAAGTGTTCGTCTCTGTCCCTGTCTGTCTGTCGCCTGATTCACCCATTGATGCAGCACACACCGAGTCCGCTTGATGACCTTGGTTCAAATAGAGAGACCCCCCCCCCCCCCCGTATAGCCTTTAATATGTTGGGGCAAGTGCTGTTTAACGAGCACACACACAGAGTCAAGAGGGCATCACGGGCAATGGCAGTGGTGCTACCCCGCCTCGCCATCGCTCCCTTCCTTCTGCCAGCCCGAGCCGAGCCCGAGCCACAGCTGAGCCGCCGGTCATGCATCTTTGAAAGCAGCAGCTCAAGACAAAGATCCCCCGTGTAACCTTAAACAGACTGTTGGGGCAAGTGCTGCTTGCGAGCAGCACCCTTGCAGGGAAACGAGGAGGTGGGTGGCCAGCACCACGCCCGGCCGCCTTTGTCTCTCTAGTGGCGACTGTTTACACACCGCACCAGGTACATAATTGAGGCTGAGTCGACCTAGGGGAGATCCAAGACCGGTTCAGATAACTCGTCATTGGTGTTGACAGGGAGCGGGAATCCAACTCGGGTCGCGTTCGTAGCGCAGCGCGCTAACCACTGTGCCACTGCTCCCCATTCGCATCACCACCGCCATCACCTTTTCGGACTCTTCCGTTAGAGATGAACAATTGAGTTTATTGGCTACGGGGGAGTTATCGTTGTCAAAGCGCGCGGCGATCGTAGCGCAGCAAGGCGATCGCAGCGCAGCAAGGCGATCGCAGCGCAGCAAGGCGATCGTAGCGCAGCAAGGCGATCGTAGCGCAGCAAGGCGATCGTAGCGCAGCAAGGCGATCGTAGCGCAGCAAGGCGATCGTAGCGCAGCAAGGCGATCGTAGCGCAGCAAGGCGATCGCAGCGCAGCAAGGCGATCGCAGCGCAGCAAGGCGATCGCAGCGCAGCAAGGCGATCGCAGCGCAGCAAGGCGATCGCAGCGCAGCAAGGCGATCGTAGCGCAGCAAGGCGATCGTAGCGCAGCAAGGCGATCGTAGCGCAGGAAGGCGCCGCTGTGTTTCACGCGAGGCACAAGCCTGCGCTGCTTTCACAGCAGGCGGGGGGGGGGGGGCGATGCTGCTGTATGTGAGTGTGAGTGCACAGAGCCTGGCACAAGCGCCGTGGTGACGTCGTCGTCACCGAGTGGCGAATGGCGGCCGTTCATGTCGTGGGGATTGAGTGATTTGGAGTTACGAGACAGAGGGCGGCCGCGCGCAGCTACAGGAGCGACTCCCTGCCGGGCTGAGCGGAGTGCACGATCACGGGGCGAGCCAGCAACCCCTGCCCCTCGTCGTTGCCCCCCTCGGCCTCCTCCTCCTCCTCCTCCTCGTCCTGCCGCTGGTCGGGGTCGTGCATGGCGAGGGGGACCAGCATGGGGCGGGAGAGGATGCGCAGCGCCTGGCCCAGGGACAGAGGGAGAGAGCGAGATGACTGAGCGAGACGACTGAGCGAGACTCTCCCGGCTGTGAAACGACGCCTGGACACCACCTCAGCACGTGCACGGCGCGCGGGGCGTTCACGCGGCCACTCTCTGACTATCGAAAGCGATAACCGGTCCTGTCAAGATGATGATAACAAGTTATAATCGGCTTCATAGCCTTTACGGCAAGACTACAGGATGTGGTTAAGATGTTCAAACACCAAGCAGACACGCCAATAATCACCACGACAAGGCATCACCACGACAAGGCATCACCACACACCATGCTCGTGGTCAAACATGCACACAAAGCCGTCTGGAAACAATAATGATGTGTACGCATTGTCCTTGTGGACACGTTCACCGGCTTTCGCCTAACTCCCCGAGCCGCTGATGAGGACGAGGAGAAAGTGCGGCTGCCTCACCTGTAGATAGGAGGGCGGCGGGGTGAGCCCCGGGGGGTGAGGCCTGGTGAGGGTGCGCAGCGCCTGCAGGTAGCCGGGGGGCGGGGTGAGGGAGTTGTCCAGCCGGTAGCCGTGGGTCGAGAGAAGCCCGTTCAGCTCTGGGGGACACGCGGGGCGGGGCGGGGAGGGGCGAGGGACGTTTCTTTTTTCATTTCATGTGTTAGGAGGTATAACCATGTGAGCTATGCGGCTCTTGACTCGGGTGCAACCGCAACAAAACAAAAACATGAACAAGAAACATCTTAAAGTGACTACACGCAACAGAAAAATCCAGGAAAAACCAGCAGTCTTCCAGAATAAACACCATATTTCAACGATGTGTGCAAAAACCCCAGTGGGATGCAAGTCAAACAATAACAACCATAAGACAATGTAGATTAAAGTTATCAGGCTAACTCTGTAATACAACAAATAAACATGGCTAAACCAAAACGTTTTCAAAATCACCAAAATAAAGCTATAAAACAATGTATCTGTGATCATAGGAACTGTGATTCAAATTTAACAATAAACGATATCCATAACATGTACGACCAAACTTTGCAGCCGTATCTGGCTGCATGAGTCACTCCATAACAGCAGGTGTATCAGTAGCAGAATCAAAAATTGCAATGCACCTTTAAAGATCAGCACACGATAATCAAAACTCTTGATCATACTTTGCAGCGGTCATCCGGAACGATACATTTGATGTCAGGCCATTCTGAATAGCAGTGGCAGCTCGGGGTGTACAACTCCTCGAGAGCAGTTTTGAGTGAAGATCTCACAGGTCGTGATCCAAGTTGCAGTTTATTGGCGACAGCATTCGTGAGGAGAGGGAGTGGGAGAGGGAGGGGGTCAAGGGAGGGGGGTTCGAGGAGGGAGGGGGATAGGGGAGGGAGGATGTGGGACGAGGGGGGGAGGGAGGAGCCGGCGAGGGAGGATGGGGGAGGGAGGATGTGGGAGGAGGGGGGAGGGAGGATGTGGGAGGAGGGGGAGGGAGGATGGGGAGGAGGGGGGAGGGAGGATGGGGGAGGAGGGGGAGGGGGGAGGAGGGGGAGGGAGGAGGAGGGGGGTGATCAAAGAACTTTCTTCCCCCGCACCTCCACCTCCGATGAGCCCGGTTTTCTAGGTATGGTGAGAAAGCAGTTCAACACACACTATACACACTACACTACACACACTACACTCTAACACACTACACACTACACTACACACACTATACACACTACAAAAAGACAAAGATCCCCCATATAGCCTTAACAGACTGGAGGGGCAAGTGCTGTTAGCGAGCACCTATGAGGGCCGCAACGGTACACGAGGGGGTGGGTGGCTAGCACCACGCCCGACCACCTTTGTCTCCCTAGTGGTGATGTTTACACAACGCATCAGGTACTCATTTGAGGCTGAGTCCACCTAGGGGAGGCCCAGAACCGGTTCAGATAATCGTCACTGGTGTTGGCCGTGAGCGGGAATCGAACACACACTACACACAGTAACACACACCACACACACACACACTACAAAGATCCCCCGTATAGCCTGAACAGACTGTAGGGGCAAGTGCTGTTAGCGAGCACCTATGAAGGCCGGAACGGTACACGAGGGGGTGGGTGGCCAGCACCACGCCCGACCGCCTTTGTCTCCCTAGTGGCGATGTTTACACACCGCACCAGGTACTCATTTAAGGCTGAGTCGACCTAGGGGAGGCCCAGGACCGGTTCAGATAATCGTCACTGGTGTTAGCCGTGAGCGGGAATCGAACCCGGGTCGCCAGGTTCATAGCGCAGCGCGCTAACCGCTACACTACCACACACACACACTACACACACACAGTAACACACACTACACACACACAGTAACACACACAGTAATACACACTACATACACACACAGTAACACACACTACACACACTACATAACTTCCCCTCTAAGCAATGCTGGGTGCTGCGAAGAGGAGTGATAATTGAATGACTGATTTGTGCGAGACTTGCATTGACGGATTAAATAGTGAAACGTGACTTAATGGAATTGTGAACGAGTTAATGAATGAAACAATTGCTTAAGGAATGAATAAACGAAGAAATTGATTGAATGTTGAAATTTAATGCGTGAATGAAATAACGAACTAAAGAGTATCTTAAACTGAACGAACGAATACACGAATGTAGAGCGATGTATTTATGTAACGGCATTAGCAAATAAACGTTGAATGGAATGCACAAATTATTGATTGAACGAATGGGAGTGAACGAGTAAGTGAATGAGTACGAATGAGTTAACCTGCGAGTGAAAGGGTGAATGCAGCTTCCCCACTGACCTCCGCAGTGGCAGAGTTCGGCCCAACCGCCGGGTGCACAGGTCACAGGACGAGGGAGGAGCAAGGATAGTTCAGGAGAGGGTGAATGAATACATGAATGAATGAATTAATCAGTGAAGGAGATCCCCGCTACCTGCGAGGTCGCAGAGCATCGAGGACCCGGAGTCGAGTCGCTCCTTCTCCTCCACGGGGGTCACGCTGTAGCGGTCGACTCGGCTCGGGCTCCCTCCACCAGGGGCCCCTCCACCAGGAGCCGCTCCACCAGGGACCCCACTGTGAGCTCCACCTTGGGGCCCACTCTCAGCTGCACCGTGGGCCTCCCATTGAGCCTTGCCATGGGCCCCAATGTGAGCGCCTCCTTGGGTCCCGCTGTGAGCTCCACCATGGGTCCCGCTGTGAGCTCCACCGTGGGCCCCAATGTGAGCACCTCCTTGGGTCTCCCATTCAGCCTCACCGTGGGTCCCGCTGTGAGCTCCACCGTGAGCCTCGCTTTGAGCTCCACCGTGGGTCCTGCTGTGAGCTCCATCGTGAGCCTCGCTGTGAGCTCCACCGTGGGTCTCGCTGTGAGCTCCACCGTGGGTCCCGCTGTGAGCTCCGCCAGGGGCCTCGTAATCGAGCGAGCCGCGCCACCTCGCGGGATTGGGGTGCGAGTAGCGGTCTCTGGGCCGGGAGCGGGAGAGACAAAGGCGGTCGCGGGTGGCGGAGAGGCCCCCCTTGACGGAGGAGAGGAGGCCAGGGCGCCACTCCACGAGCCGCAGGGCGAGTAGGGCGAGCAGACTCACAATGGCTGTGCTCACGATGAGCCAGCTGACTGCCAGCATGGGACCACTGGCAGGAGAGGAGGGAGGAGGAGAGGGAGGGAGGGAGGGAGGAGGAGAGGGAGGGAGGAGGAGAAGAGGGAGTGAGGAAGAGGAGGAGAAGGAGGGAGGAGGAGGAGAGGGAGTGAGGAGGAGGAGAGGGAGGAGGAGAGGGAGGAGGAGAGGGAGGAGGAGAGGGAGGAGGAGAGGGAGGGAGGAGGAGAAGAGGGAGTGAGGAAGAGGAGGAGAAGGAGGGAGGAGGAGGAGAGGGAGTGAGGAGGAGGAGAGGGAGGAGGAGAGGGAGGAGGAGAGGGAGGAGGAGAGGGAGGAGGAGAGGGAGGGAGGAGGAGAAGAGGGAGTGAGGAAGAGGAGGAGAAGGAGGGAGGAGGAGGAGAGGGAGTGAGGAGGAGGAGAGGGAGGAGGAGAGGGAGGAGGAGAGGGAGGAGGAGAGGGAGTGAGGAGGAAGAGGAGAGGAGAAGGAGTGAGGAGGAGGAGAGGGAGTGAGGAGGAGGAGGAGAGGGAGTGAGGAGGAGGAGGAGGAAAGGAGGGAGGAGGAGAGGAGGGAGGAGGAAGTTGGAGGAGGAGGAGAGGGAGGAGGAGGAGAGGAGGGAGGAGGAGGAGAGGGAGTGAGGAGGAGGAGAAGGAGTGAGGAGGAGGAGAGGGAGTGAGGAGGAGGAGGAAAAAGAGGGAGGAGGAGGGGGGGGATGGGGAGGAGAGGGAGGAGAGGAGGGAGGAGAAGGAGAGGGAGGAGGAGAGGGAGGGAGGAGGAGGAAAAGGAGGGAGGAGGAGGAGAGGAGGGAGGAGGAGGAGGGGGAGGAGGAGGAGAGGGAGGAGAGGAGGGAGGAGAAGGAGAGGGAGGAGAGGAGGGAGGAGGAGGAGAGGGAGGAGGAGGAGAGGAGGGAGGAGGAGGAGAGGGAGGAGGAGGAGGAGGCAGGAGGAGGAGAGGGAGGGAGGAGGAGGAGAAGAGGGAGGGAGGAGGAGGAGAGGGAGGAGGAGGAGAGGGAGGGAGTGAGGAGGAGGGTCAAGCACAGTGAATTAATCACCCTCGCCAGCATCACCATCAGCAACAATAAAAGTAGCAGCAGCACTAGCATGATTATCCTCATCATAATCAGCAAGTCTCATCAACAGCAGCAGCAGAAACACGACAACAGCATCATCCTCATCGATTAATCATCAGTAGATCAACGGTACCATCATTTTCAACCTCAATATCATGATCGACACCAAAGATCACGAGGTGGTAGTTGGCCAGCACCACGCCCGGCCGCCTTTGTCTCCTTTGTGGCGATGATTACCCACCGCACCAAGTATCATCTGAGGCTGAGTCTACTTAGGGGAAGCCCAGGAACGGCTAAGATAATAATCGTCATTGGTGTTGACCGTGAGCGGGAAGCAGACCAAGGTTGCCAGGTTCGTCGCGCAGCGCGCTAACAGCTGATCGTCAGCACCGTCATCACCCCACCGCCCTCACCTCCTCTCACGGCACGAGATGAAGGCGCTGCGGTTCCCAGGACACGTGGAGACATCGCCCCACGCGAGGAGGTCCCTGCACCTGTGGGTGGCCTGCTCCCCGCGCTCCCCCCGCTCCCCCGTGCAGGGTGCCTGAGCCACCCAGCGGTAGGGGTCGGGGTCAAGGGCCGCGGGGTCGAACTCCCTCTCCGTGACCTTCACCTCGTCCGTGGGACACTGCAGCTGGGGTCGAGGATCACACGAGCAGCAGGGAGGGGGTCGACTCGTGGAATCACAAACTCTTCCTGCCCGTCTTTGGCGCTCCACACAACGCAGTCCTTTTATTTTAACACATCCCATCAGCCGTATGGCCTCCCTCCTCCCATGAGTGCTCACAGCAGCAGTGGTTCAACGCAATCAGAACTCTGCACCGGTTTCAACTTTCAACGTCTCATCAGCAGAGTCGAGCTTTGCTTGAGCTATTGCTGGTGAACTTCCAGAAGAGTATAGGCGAAGACCCCTGGCCTGTGTGAGATGTGGGTCCACACTGTGACACCGAATTTCAAAATTAAGGTGATGTTGGGAGGGTCCTAAAATATTTCAATGAAACTATTTTAATGAAACTATTTTTTATTTTACCAGGTGAGGCGCGCTGAGCTACTGTAGAGCTGTTTTCTAAAGCGACCGGGCCACAAATGATAGCTCAACGAAGTGGCTTATCACGTGGAAATGTATTGCAGCCAAATACTCAAAACGCGCGTTTCTAAATGTGGAGGGAAAACCCGGAGGACCTGGAGAAAAATCCACGTGACCGCGAGCAGCATATGCAACTCCAAAAATACATCTTGACTTAAAGCTTTCGTGACTGCAGGAATTAATATTATTTGGGTCTTTCGGTAAAGTTACGTAGAAAGGTTCAAATTAATAAAAATAAAATGTTATTTAATTTGTATTAATTTGGATATGTTTTGGGTCTTTCGGTAAAAAATAAAATGTTTATTTTTATTAATTTGAACCTATCTACGTGACTTTAACGAAAGACCCAACGAATATCCAAATATACAGTTTAACACGTAGGCTTTCAGGACCAATATCATCCATAAAACTGTTTTTTGGGGTTGGATCGCGTAAATATACCATAGCCGTCAGGGTCGGGATCGAACCCACGTATCCTGAATACCAGGCGAGGTAGTTAACATCTCGCCACCGCAGTAGGGGGCGATGTCGCTGCTGTGTGATCCACGTTGAGCGATTCCCAGGTAATTGCTCAGCATTGGGATGCTTAGGATCAATACCAACGTCACTGTGTGTGTGTGGTTTGTTGTGTCTATGGGAGGAGTAAACTGCAGAACCCCATGCAGAACAGGGGGAAACCAGACAGACTCCACAGATACACGCACCTCACACTCGCTCGCTCACTCACTCTCACTCACCCTCACTCACCCACCCTCACTCACCCACCCTCACTCACCCACCCTCACTCACCCACCCTCACTCACCCACCCTCACTCACCCACCCTCACTCACCCACCCTCACTCACCCACCCTCACTCACCCACCCTCACTCACCCACCCTCACTCAACCACTCTCACTCACCCACTCTGACTCACCCTCACTCGCCCACCCTCACTCACCCACCCTCACTCACCCACCCTCACTCACCCACTCTCACTCACCCACCCTCACTCACCCACCCTCACTCACCCACTCTCACTCACCCACCCTCACTCACCCACTCTCACTCACCCACTCGCACTCAACCACTCTCACTCACTCAAACTCGTACAAATGCTTCTCAGAAATATGCCATGCAGAAAGGTGCTCCCGAGTCTGGAATCGAACCTGTGGGAGAGGGGGGGGGGGGTGAATGCCTCCCTCACCTGTGGGAGGGGGGGAGGGGGGAGTGCCTCCCTCACCTGTGGGAGGGGGGGGGAGTGCCTCCCTCACCTGTGCGCAGGTGAGCGAGGCGTCCAGCCCCTGGGCGCACACTCCCCTCCAGCTCCCAGCATGCAGCGCTTCCAAGTGGCCCTGGCACGGGCCCCACCCTCCCAACACCCGCACCCGGGGCCACGTGACCTCATCTGGGGGAGAAGGGGGGTCATGCCTCTTGTAGCGGGCACGCAGGCTGCGGCACGGGTACCGTGCAGGAGAATGTCGAATGTGTGCGGGGAGCGGCAGTGCGTTACCACACGCGACTACCACGACGAGATGAGCTGATGATGATTGACGTGATGATTATCTTTAGGATGACGATAGTGATTGCTGAGATCATGATAGACCAACTGATGATTATGACTCAATTTTTAAATAATGGGAATCACCTCACGCACCCCCACTCACCCGAGGGGGTGGTTGCCAGCACCACACCCGACCGCCTTTGTCTCCCTAGTGGCAATGTTTACATACCGCACCAGGTACTAATTTGAGGCTGAGTCGACCTAGGGGAGGCCCGGGACCGGCTCAGATAATCGTCACTGGTGTTGGCCGTGAGCGGGAATCGAAATCGTGTCGCCGAGTTCATAGCACAGCGCGCTAACCGCTACACTACCTCTCCCCACACTCACACACACGCGCACACACACAGACACACAGACACACGCACACAGATACACACACAGACACAGACACACACACAGACACACGCGCACACAGACACACAGCACACAGACACACACACACAGACACGCACACAGACACACGCACACACAGACACACGCACACACAGACACACCGAGGTGGGTAGATAAGCGAGTCGTGGAGTGAATGGGTGAGCGAGTGATGTAGCGAGTGGTGGTGAGGGTTCGTGATGAGTGTGTGGGTGAGTGGTTGTTATGAGCGTTGTTGTTATGGTGGTAGTTGTTGTAACTAGAGCCGTTATTAGTACCACTGTCTTAGTGAGTGATGGGTGAGCGAGTGATGGGGTGAGTGAGTGATGGGGTGAGTGAGTGATGGGGTGAGTGAGTGATGGGTGAGTGAGTGGTGGGGTGAGTGAGTGATGGGGTGAGCGAGTAATGGGGTGAGCGAACGACGAGGTGCGTGATTGATGGGGTGAGGTGGGTGGCTGGCTGGATAGGTGAGCGAGTAGTCGTTGTGACTATCCTGGTTGTTGTTGTTGTTGACGTGATATAAATGTGGAACAAAATGTGACGAGCGTGCAACGAAGCATAGCGAGGTGTGCCCTCGTGCCTGGAGAGACAGCGCACCACGTGGATTAGACAACACACATTCGGGGCGTCATACAGACACCGTTGTTGTTGTTGTTGTTTACCGGTGGTAGTGGCCGGGTCGGGTTCGCATCCCCAGGGTCGCCGCGCTCTCCCACGAGCAGCGCAGCACGGGACACGCGGCGCACCGGGACACGAACTCCCCTGGGTGGAGTAGAGGGGAGCACAGAGCGAGTGTGAGTGAGGCTCAGAGTGAGGGCCGAGAGAGAGAGAGTGTGAGAGTGACTGAGAGTGTGTGAGAGAGAGTGTGCGCGAGAGTGAGAGAGAGTGTGAGTGAGAGAGAGAGTGTATGTGAGAGTGAGAGAGAGCGTAGCTGAGAGTGTGTGAGAGTGAGAGTGTGTGAGATGAGTGTGTAAGACTGTGTGAGAGTGTGAGAGAGTGTGAGAGAGTGAGAGTGTGAGAGTGTGAGAGTGAGAGTGTGTGAGAGTGAGAGAGAGTGTGAGAGAGAGTGTGTGAGAGTGAGAGAGAGAGTGTGAGAGTGAGAGAGAGAGAGTGTGAGAGAGTGAGAGTGTGAGAGTGAGAGAGTGTGTGCCCAGCTCTCCGCTCACAATGAGTCGAGTGCCGGGTGGCTAACGTGCAGAAAGCTGGCACAGGTGGTGGATCTGCGAGTCAACTCGGTCAGCCCATGGCACCTGGGTCTGTTCCGTGAACTGCCAGAGAGCCTTCCACACTTCACGTGGCCTCAAGTTGCACTGAGCCTGGCACTTAGTTGGCAAATAGCGGTTGTTGTTGTTCATAGGTGCTACTCGCGAACAGCACTTGCCCCAACAGTCTGTTAAGGCGATACGGGGGATCTTTGTCTTCGCATGAGTAAGGGGGAAAGAGAAAGAGCTGAGTGTGTGGATATGTGGGGCAGGAAGAAGCGATGGGAGATTGAGGAGTGGGAGGGAGGTGGGAGGGAGGTGGGAGCGAGGGAGGTGGGAGGGAGGTGGGAGGGAGGTGAGAGGGAGGGAGGTGAGAGGGAGGGAGGAGAGAGGGAGGGAGGGACCCACCGAGGCAGCGCACGCTGGGGTAGAGGAGGTCCCCCCCGTAGAGCTGGGGGCTCAGGAACCCCGCGTCCATCTTGGGGGGGCCGCACCCCGCCCCCTGGCACAGCTCCTCCGCGAGGCGCCCCGACGCGTTCCATCCACTCACACAGAGCTGTGGAGATACACGCTCACCTGTACACTCACCTGTACACTCACCTGTACACTCACTCACCTGTACACTCACTCACCTGTATACTCACTCACTCACTCACCTGTCCACTTACTCGTATACACTTACATCAGGGTTGGCGTCCGGACTGGGATGTTGTTTGCTGTTGAGGTCAGGTTCAGGGGCAATTCTGGGATCAACATCTTGGTAAAAGTTAGAGATGGCGGTCAGTGTTAGGATTAAATTGAGGTCAAAGTTGATGTTTGGGGTAAAGGTGGGGGCCAGTGTTGGGATCAAGGCTGGTCCAATGTCGGGGTGAGTGTCGGGGTCTCACCGCGTCCCACCGCTCCCCGTGCCGCATCTGCACCAGACCCTCACAGGGTCCCCCTGCGCCCACCAGCCTCACGCGGCGGGCGGCGGTCACGGGGCCCGTGACCCCTCCTCCCATGACCCCTCCTCCCGTGATCCCTCCTCCCGTGACCCCTCCTCCCGTGACCCCTCCTCCCGTGACCCCTCCTCCAACTCCGGGCCCCGTGACCCCTCCTCCACCTCCGGGCCCCGTGACCACTCCTCCCGTGACCCCCTGGGGTCTCGCTGTCCCCGCGTCTCCCCCGCTCGTTCCTGCACCGCGAGGAGAAGGGGGGCGGCAGGCAATGGTTGAGTCTCACGGGGGAGCTGCCCCCACTCCCGGGGGGGCGGGGGCGGGGGGTCAGAGGCGATTGTTAAGAATCGTGTTGCTGGGATTATAAACCTTGGGGGGCACGGGGGAGGCGTGTAAACGGAGACGTGCACGGTGCGGTGTTACGAAACTAAGAGTGATGTGTGTGATGCCATCACAATCACACACACACTACAAAGACACTCCTCCCCTTATAGCCTGAACAGACTGTTGAGGCAAGTGCTGTTAGCGAACACGACAACGCATAACCGTGGCGATTACACACCGCACCGGGTACTCATTTGAGGTTGAGTCGACCTAGGGTAGATTCAGATAATCGTCACTGGTGTTGGCCGTGAGCGGGAATCGAACTCGGCTGGCCCGGGGTACGTAGTGCAGCGCGCTAACTGCTGCCATACGCAAGAATGAAACGACCACCACCATCATCACCACCACCACCACGGGTCGCGGGCCACTCATCACAGAGACGGCAGTGATGGATGAGGCGCGGGTGACGCAGTCACTCACTGCCACGCAATTAAACAACGTCACCTGCGGGGGGGGGGGGGTGTTTGGGGGGGCAGGTGGGACCTAGAGAGAGTTCAGTCGGAAGGAGAGGGGGGCACGAAGAGAGAATAGGGAGACGAGGGGAGGGGCAGATACAATTAAGAGAACACGCGATGGCAGCGAGAAGCAAACACGGTGCAGCACAAACAGCAATCAATCACGGACGTCTCGGGGGGCGGGGCGGCTGTACGACAGCTCCGTGAGAGGCGAGGAACTCTCTCGGTCACTCACGGGGGGGGCAGGTTGGGGGGGGCAGGTTGGGGGGGTCGCGGTGTTGTTCATTTAACACGCGGCGCGAGCTGCGGCCGACTGGAGCAGAGTTTCTGGACAGAGATAATCGTTTTGGTTCACGACATTATTTAGACAACGCGTTGTTTATGAGATGTCGTCGTGTTTGCTTTGTGGTTTGAGAGGTTTAATCAGCGACACGGGGGGGGGGGGGCAGAACACCGCCCCCCTGCCCAGCGGTGTGAGCGCTGGGACTCACGTCACGCGTATTGCGCCGCGTCTCCCTGTGTCTACTTGTGTGCCTGTCTACCTGTGTAGCTGTACACCTGTGTAGCTGTACACCTGTGTGTGTACCTGTGTATATGTCTAGCTGTGTATCTGTGTACTTGTGTGTGTAGCTGTGTACCTATGTGTGCATCTGTACGTGTACCTGTGTGTGTACCTGGTGCAGTGTGTAAATATCGCCATTGGGGAGACAAAGGCGGTAGGGCGTGGTGCTGACCCCGCATTTATAGGTGCTACTCGCTAACGGCACTTGCCCCAACAGTCTGTTAAGGCTATGGGGGGGATCTTTGTCTTTGTACTGTATGTGTGTGTGTGTATCTTTGTGTGTGCACCTGTGTTTGTCTTTGTGTTGTGCTTTCGGAGTCCTTAACCCTCTGCTCATGATCATTAAGGACCTTCATGATGCTGAGCGGGCCCGGGTAAAACTACGTGGCCGGGAGTATTACACCTTGGGGTGCGACAGGGATGCCCTCTGGCTCCCACATTATTTAACATCTATTTTGACAACGTAGTTCGTGAGGCCTTCAATAGCTGTACCGGGGGAATTTCCATTTGGTATAGATATAATGGGAGGCTGATCGATTCCCGGGTGCGATCAAGGGATGGCTCCCTATTGGTCAACCACGTTATGTATGACGATGATTTGGTAATAGCTGCTCATTCAGAGGAGGAGTTGGAGACGCTGCTGCTGAGACTGGAGCGTGCCACTAAGAGGTGGGGCCTTACCATCAGCCCCACCAAAACGAAGCACCTGCCTGGGTATTTTATACCATCCGACAATCCACCCCCACAACTCCCAATCGGTGATGGGGCAATAGTGGAGAGAGTGGAGAGTTTCCCATACCTGGGCAGTGTGTTATGACCGGCTCCAGTCTAATCAGCAGAGGTCTCACTCCGAATCAGTCGAGCGGCAATATATTTTCATCGGTTGCGTGACGGCTGTGTGGAAGCTACCTGGTCTCGTCGCTCCGCACGAAGCTTCAGGTCTTCTCGTCCACGGTCATTCCCTCCCTTCTCTACGCTTGCGAAACGTGGACCCCCCTAGTGGAGCATCTTCGCCGGTTAGAAACATTTAGGCTGTCCTGCCTACGATCCATCCTGGGTTTAACCAGGCTGGATTGTGTGAGGAGCTCACAAATCCTTGAAATATCTGGGCAAAGTCCCATCGGTGAGCTCCTCCGGCAGGCAAGGCTGCGTTGGCTGGGTGTGTGTACCTGTGTATGTGCTGTATGTGTGTGTATCTACTGTATGTGTGTATGTATGTACTGTATGTGTACCTGTGTATATGTGTATGTACTGTATGTGTGTACCTGTGTATGTGTGTATGTACTGTATGTGTACCTGTGTATGTGTGTATGTACTGTATGTGTGTGTACCTGTGTATGTGTATGTACTGTATGTGTGTATGTACTGTATGTGTTTGTACCTGTGTATGTGTACTGTATGCGTGTACCTGTGTATGTGTGTATGTACTGTATGTGTACCTGTGTATGTGTGCACTTGGCCTGGCATAAGCGTCGTGGTGACGTCACTTAGTGGCGAATGGCGGTTGTTGTTGTGTGCACTGTATGTGTGTGTACCTGTGTATGTGTGTGTACCTGTGTATGTGTGTGTATGTGTGTATGTACTGTACGTGTGTGTACTTGTGTATGTGTGTATATACTGTATGTGTATCTGTGTATGTGTATGTACTGTATGTGTGTATGCACTGCATGTGTGTATGTACTGTATCTGTATGTGTGTATATACTGTATGTGTGTGTACCTGTGTATGTGTATGTATGTACTATATGTGTGTGTACCTGTGTATGTGTGTATGTGCTGTATGTGTACCTGTGTATGTGTATATGTACTGTATGTGTGTGTACCTGTGTATGTACTGTATGTGTGTGTACCTGTGTATGCGTGTATGTGCTGTTTGTGTATGTGTGTATGTACTGTATGTGCGTGTACCTGTGTATGTGTGCACTGTATGTGTCTGCCTGTGTGGGTGGGGCAAGTCCCCCCGACTCACCTGCGCCTGTCGCACACACCACCACCATCACCACCACCATCACCACCTTGATCACCATCACCACCTTCACCATCGCCGCCATCATCGTCGTAATCGAGCTGGCGAGGCGGGGAGGAGCGGCTGGGGCCCTGCGCGGCTCTCTGCTGCCTCGACTCCTCGGACTCGAGCCTCACCCCGCCACGAGGCCTCACCTGGGCACCGCGGTGACGTCACCGCCTCACCTGCCGAACCGGTCCCAGGCCGAGAGCGAATAAGGAAATAAATAAATAAAGGCGCTGGCCCAGAGGTCACCACTACACAGAGACTCACCACCACCACTACACAGAGACTCACCACCACCACTACACAGAGACTCACCACCACCACTACACAGAGACTCACCACCACCACTACACAGAGACTCACCACCACCACTACACAGAGACTCACCACCACCACTACACAGAGACTCACCACCACCACTACACAGAGACTCACCACCACCACTATACAGAGACTCACCACCACCACTACACAGAGACTCACCACCACCACTAGACAGAGACTCACCACCACCACTACACAGAGACTCACCACCACCACTACACAGAGACTCACCACCACCACTACACAGAGACTCACCACCACCACTACACAGAGACTCACCACCACCACTAGACAGAGACTCACCACCACTACACAGAGACTCACCACCACCACTACCACTACACAGAGACTCACCACCACCACTACACAGAGACTCACCACCACCACTACACAGAGACTCACCACCACCACTACACAGAGACTCACCACCACCACTACACAGAGACTCACCACCACCACTACACAGATACTCACCACCACCACTACACAGAGACTCACCACCACCACTACACAGAGACTCACCACCACCACTACACAGAGACTCACCACCACCACTACACAGAGACTCACCACCACCACTATACAGAGACTCACCACCACCACTACACAGAGACTCACCACCACCACTAGACAGAGACTCACCACCACCACTACACAGAGACTCACCACCACCACTACACAGAGACTCACCACCACCACTACACAGAGACTCACCACCACCACTACACAGAGACTCACCACCACCACTAGACAGAGACTCACCACCACCACTACACAGAGACTCACCACCACCACTACACAGAGACTCACCACCACCACTATACAGAGACTCACCACCACCACTACACAGAGACTCACCACCACCACTAGACAGAGACTCACCACCACCACTACACAGAGACTCACCACCACCACTACACAGAGACTCACCACCACCACTACACAGAGACTCACCACCACCACTACACAGAGACTCACCACCACCACTAGACAGAGACTCACCACCACTACACAGAGACTCACCACCACCACTACACAGAGACTCACCACCACCACTACACAGAGACTCACCACCACCACTACACAGAGACTCACCACCACCACTACACAGAGACTCACCACCACCACTACACAGAGACTCACCACCACCACTACACAGATACTCACCACCACCACTACACAGAGACTCACCACCACCACTACACAGAGACTCACCACCACCACTACACAGAGACTCACCACCACCACTAGACAGAGACTCACCACCACCACTACACAGAGACTCACCACCACCACTACACAGAGACTCACCACCACCACTACACAGAGACTCACCACCACCACTACACAGAGACTCACCACCACCACTACACAGAGACTCACTACCACCACTAGACAGAGACTCACCACCACCACTACACAGAGACTCACCACCACCACTACACAGAGACTCACTACTACGACACAGAGACGCGCATGGAGACAACAACAAAGCCATCACTCCAACCATCAAGAAGAATCCTCTTGTGGAGCCATTCAAAACCATCACCTTACCCTACATTGCGGGGATCACAAAAAAGATCTCCAAAATCCTGAATAAACACAAGATCCAGGTCTGCTCCAACACAGTACATAGGCCTCTATGGAGATGGTGTCCTCAAGCTGCCCCTCACCAGTCTTACCGAGGAATTCAAGTGTGCAAAAACCAGGCTCCAGATGACACTGAATGAATCTCGAGACCCAGTGGTGAGCAACAACGCGCCGACCTTGGCAACTGGGCGCAAATGGAGGCCAGGAAAAGCAGTCCAGGAGGCAACAGCAGCCCTCAGACATGCTGACATTGTGGGTCATGTTCAGCAAGGGAGAGGAGGCCTTGGGCTAACTAGCCGTGCTGCTTGGAGTAAGGCCACTGCACCAGAGCGGCGGAAGATGGTAGTGCAGGAAGTACGCCATCAGGAGGAGGCTGCAAGGAGGGCCAAGGCAGTCTCTCTTGCCAAACAAGGACAGTGGACTCGATGGGACAGTGTGGAGAAGAGGAAGATCAGCTGGAAGGATCTGTGGGCCATGGAAGCGAGGCGGTTGAGCTTTTCCATCAGAGCAACATATGACATCCTTTTAACACCAGTTAATCTTCACCAATGGTATGGTGAAGATCCGGACTGTGCCCTCTGTTCCATGCCAGCCAACCTCAGGCACATTCTCACAGGGTGTAAAACAAGCCTCACCCAAGGACGCTACACTTGGCGTCACAACCAAGTCCTTAAAAACCTTGCGTCCGCCCTGGAGGACAAGCGAGCTGCCACCAACTCCCTACCACCCCCAGCAGCATCACACCCCTTACGGACGACCTTTGTCCGCGAAGGGGCTAAACCACCGAAGAGCGGCTCTACACCAATAGAGCGAGACCAGCTGCGCTTGGCCCGCGACTGGAAAATGCTAGCTGACATTGGCCGGCAACTTGTGTTTCCTCCGGAGATCGCAACCACCACCCTAAGACCTGACATGGTGCTCTGGTCCCGTTCGCTCAAGAAGGTCTTCATCATTGAGTTCACAGTACCCTGGGAGGACTCAGTAGATGAGGCTTATGAGCGAAAACATCTGCGCTATGCCGATCTAGCTGCCGAAGCACGGCATCATGGCTGGAACACAGAAGTCCGACCAGTGGAGGTGGGCTGCAGAGGTTTTGTGGCAACATCTACAACCAGACTGCTTAGAGACCTGGGAATTAAGGGCCAGAGCCAGCGTTCGGCAATCAAAGCTGTATCGGAGGCGGCAGAAGGCAGCAGTCAGTAGCTCTGGATGAAGAGGAAAGACCCCAGCTGGGCCCCAAAGTGAGAGGGCCAGGAGGTATGCAGTCAACAATGCTTGACTCAGGGAGGAGGACGCCCCTGCCATGCATAGTCCCATGGGATGTTGGCTACCAACAACAAGGCAACTCCTATGACTAATTGGGAATGGGACGCAAGCGTAGGATTGATCACCCTGTCGCTGGCCGCCTTTGGGGAGGGTGTATAGTATGAAAGGCCGAAACACCCTAGGAACCAAAGGGTCACTACTGACGATGCGCTCCCCAAATTTCACCAGGCTCACTGTTCATGAAATCTCTTGGAAGTGCTTGCACAAAGGATAGTAACATCTCATCCTGTGTTCTTTGGAACCGTGATCTGGTCCTGTCTGTAAAAGATGTGGTTCCAGACATACAGTACCCTGACGTCTACAAACTAAGTTGCCTCTGTGTTAGCAGTTACATTGGAGAAACCAAACGACAAATCTGGGACTGCATCCGTGAACATAAAGCAGACCTGAAACACGGTAGATGGAAATTTCTCCAGTACAGCTATTGAAGGTTTCGATTTAAAGCTTTCGTGACTGCAGGGATTAATCTTCTTGGTTCTTTCGGTAAAGTCACGTAGAAGGGAAGTAATAAAATAATAAAAATAAAAAATAATAAAAAATAATAAAACAATTCTCACGACGTTTCGGCCACAACGCAAGCAGCCGTCCTCAGGTGAAAACCAGGTCCGTCGAGGCGACAGAGTCTGAATGAAACAGCACACGAGCTTGCATATCAAAAGGAATTTAGCATATTTATGGGAAATGCAGGAATGTGATTAGTACTGCATATGCATGTGCATTATGCAGGATTAACAGCATCAAAGGGAGCTGCAGTTACTGCTGCTGCTGCAGTTGCTGCTGCTGCAGTTGCTGCTGCTGCTGCAGTTGCTGCTGCTGCTGCAGTTGCTGCTGCTGCTGCAGTTGCTGCTGCTGCTGCAGTTGCTGCTGCTGCTGCAGTTGCTGCTGCAGTTGCTGCTGCTGCTGCACTTGCTGCTGCTGCTGCAGTTGCTGCCTTATCCATTTTGGTGGGTAGAATAATACATAGTGTTATATTAAAATGGATAAGGCAGCAACTGCAGCAGCAGCAGCAAGTGCAGCAGCAGCAGCAACTGCAGCAGCAACTGCAGCAGCAGCAGCAACTGCAGCAGCAGCAACTGCAGCAGCAGCAGAAACTGCAGCAGCAGCAACTGCAGCAGCAGCAGTAACTGCAGCTCCCTTTGATGCTGTTAATCCTGCATAATGCACATGCATATGCAGTACTAATCACATTCCTGCATTTCCCATAAATATGCTAAATTCCTTTTGATATGCAAATTCCTTTGTCAATGCGCCCAGCTTATATATATGCTCCAAGCTCGTGTGCTGTTTCATTCAGACTCTGTCGCCTCGACGGACCTGGTTTTCACCTGAGGACGGCTGCTTGCGTTGTGGCCGAAACGTCGTGAGAATTGTTTTATGATTTTTTCTTTTTATTATTTTATTACTTCCCTTCTACGTGACTTTACCGAAAGAACCAAGAAGAGCTATTGAAGGCTTCACGAACTACGTGGTCGAAATAGATGTTAGAAAATGTGGGAGCCAGAGGACATCCCTGTCGCACCCCAAAGTGAACAGGGAATGGATCCGACTCCCGGCCACGTAGTTTTACCCGGGCCCGCTCACCATCATGAAGGTCCTTAATGATCGTGAGCAGCGGGTCAGGGACTCCGAAAGCACGAAGAACAACCCAGAGCCCAGGCCTACTGATGGTATCATAGGCCTTGACCAGGTCAATAAAGCAGATATGTAGGTCTTGTAGGAATTCCCTACACCTCTGCTGTAGCAGACAGACAGAAAATATGGCATCTGTGCAGGACCGCCCTTTCCCGAAACCACATTGGGGCACCGCAAGCCTCTCCTCAGCGTGCCGAGCAAGGCGATGTTGAATAATCCTTGCCAGGACCTTTCCTGGCACACTGAGGAGTGAGATGCCCCTGTAGTTATTGCAGTCTGTGCGGTCCCCCTTCTTAAAGAGGGGGGC